TAAGTAGGACCTGCCTCCACTGTCTATCTCCCACGCCATTTAATGGGGAATGGGAACACGATGCTTAATCATTTGTACCAGGGTACCATGTGTGCAGGCACACATCCATATACATATATACAAAAATACAGACACAGGCTTTGACGACTAGAAGATGGAAAAAAGCCACCCTGTGTTCTCGTGAAGCCCATGGGATAATCGATCGTTCTTTAGAGCAAAGCATTCTTTTGTTCTGGGGAGAAACATTCGAACATTCATCATCATACAAGTGTAGAGAAAGGTTTCACCCCATATCATTCATCGTTTTTTGGGAAAAATGGGATGTAACTTCACCTGAACGTTGATGTTTTTAAACAGAGGTCCCCTGCCCTTTCCCTGGTCCTCTGCCCCTGAGATGACACATCCCTGTACCTGGTGGTGACGCTACGATGGCCTCTCTCAAGAGGGGACAGGGTACATACCAGAATCCCTTGAGAGGCAGCTCTATTTGGAAACGTTCCCACAGCTGGTTTCTGGAGAAGCTTCACTTAGGCTGGGATGTTGATACGCTTTCATGTTATTTACGATTAAATAGCTAAGACTTCCGGAAATCAAGGTATGTTGGGCTGTTGTATTTTGGTGTGATTTTCTGGTTGGGGTCCCAGGGTGAGACCACAACCCCTGAGAGAAGAGGAACAGTGTATTTTCTGAAGACAGCTTAGATTCCATCATGGATGTGAAAGCCTCTGTGGCTCCCTGGCCCTCTTCACGCCCACCTGGCAAACGTCTAACTAGGGCTAAATCCAGCTATTCTCTGTACCCACGCTCGTGACTGAGTTTGGAGAAAAACACTCAAATATGCTGACCAGCCTCACTTTAAATTCCTCACCATAAATTTTAAATAGGTGATTACCAACTTGGAATCCTACTCTAGCCACTGTCCCCTCTCCACCTCCCCCATATATCTGCTCTCTCATTTTCCAAAGTGATTATTTTGTATCTTCTCCCTTCCCCACGTACCACCCACATTGTCTTTCTTCCCTAAGAGGTGGTCGTCGACATGACCACACATTGGACTGAGACACAGAGCGGTTGAGAAGGTATAGTCTCGTGTTATCTATTATCACCACCATGTCCATGTGAGTCTAGACTTACACCATCTGCCCGCCTTCCTCGTGCTGTGGATGAAGTGTCCCTTGCTGAAGGCCACCTGAGCTCTGGAGCCCATCCCCCGCTTCCTACAGATTTCACTCCTGCAGTTATCGCCGTCACCTTGCATCACCACTTTATCTCCTGACTGGGTTATTCCCGTTGGTGTTTCAATGCACTTCGGTATCTTTCACTGATTTTCAGTAAAACTTCTTGACACCACAGTCCCCCAACTACTGTCCCATTTCTCGGCTT